TCACCAGAGGAACCAGCAATCTCTGCTACTTCATCCCAAGCTTTAGTTTACTTCACAATGTTTCTATACACATTTAAGGAAGGTTGTATATGACGGGGGGGATGTTGGCTTAGTGGTTGGCACGTTTGCCTCACACCTCCAGAGTTGAGGATTCGATTCCCATTTCGAGTTTACATGTTCTCCCCGTGCTTCGGCGGTTTCCTCCCCCAGTCAAGAGACACGCGTTGTAGGCTGACTGGCATTTCCGAATTGGTTGTAGTGAGTGAATGAGTGTGTGAATGTGCCCTGCGATGTATTGGCACCCTGTCCAGGGTGTCCCCAACCTTGTGCCCCCAGTCCCCTGAAATAGGCTCTAGGCTCCCTGCAGCCCTGTGTAGGATAAGTCGTACAGTGGATGGATGGATGTATATGATAGCATAAGTAAAAATATTTCCTCCATTTTGTGTGCCTAACAGGTAAAGTGAGTGTGGAACTGATGAAATGTCTGCTCACACAAGGCATAAGATTGGGCTGATGAATCAATTGAGCCAATTGTTTGTCACTTCATACCTAATTTGTGCAGAACAGAGGAAATCACAATTCAAGTGTCACTTACTGCTCTGGCTCTGTTTTAGCATAGAAAATGGACGCCGGTCATTTTGTCGTTTGCTCGTGTGAACTTAGGGTTATACACAATGTTTACCAGACTTGTGAATAAACAACATACATTTAGACAAAGCATTTATATCATAGCTTGTTTGATGATATGGAAACCTTCCAGATATATATATATATTTTTAAGTTATAGCCACCCTAAAAACATCCGATACTCCATCATATTTGTCCCTCCACTACAGTACCTCAAACCTCTACTTCAATGCTGATAAAAATGGAATATATGCTTACTCTCTGCACAGAAGGCTGTATAAATAGATAAATGAAAGACCCAGTCACTATTTGTGAGTATCCCAGGCTATTTAAAGTACAATATTCATTTCATTTTTATTATTGCACTATTTGTTTTTTAACGGACAGCCTCCATAGCAGCTGCTATAAACACCCTGGGGCAATACGGCGTTTCAATACCTTTTAACGATTCTCTCTTCTATCTTATATTCTTCTCGCTATCACTCTTAAATTTTGTCTCATCCATTTGTCTGTCTGCACATCAGCGCTCCTGATGTTGTTTCTCATCCATTTCATTTTCTCTCGCTCTGTACTCTCTTGCTTCCTATTAGAGTCTCACACATACTTTGTCCTTTTAATATATTTCTTTTCAGGTGCCTAGTTTATCAGTGTGATGTCTGATATTGGAATAGTGGGCATAGATTTGCTGTCAGTTACTTTCACTGCCAGGGTGAATATACTGTATCTGCCTGGAACGCTTAGGATAAGTGTCCTCAAGGCTACATGTCATATGCATACGACATTCCCAACACCTGATATAATACAGAATAGAAGAAAGAAAAAAAACGTGACGCATGATATTATAGGAAAATAATCAATGATGGGGTGTTATGATGCTGTGGTATAACCACTTCTAATTCCAATTTAACAAGTCGACATAACACCTGACTCAAGTACCATTGAGTTTTACTGGCATAACTTGGTGTCATTACACTTTCTATGCTTTCCAGGACTTTCCAGCTCTCTGTACTTCTGGCATGTTCTGGTCTATGCATGCTTATAAGATTGATTAAAACTTATAACAGGTATATACATTTACAACACCATAACCAAAGTATATTTGGTAACATTTTCTATGAAGGCCATATGCATAATGACCTATGAATACATTCATAAAATGTTATAATGTATTCATTAGGTATTATCCACATTGTTATAATTATTAATGGCAATATCACAATGGTTATAATGCATTTATACATTGTTAATAGAATGTATTATAAGCAGGGTTTATAGCATGCTACAACAACAATACCAAAGAAATTCAGCCTCACTTTGCTTAGTGCATTACTTTCAGTTGTAGACACACTGACAAGTTCTTTCGCTTTTCAAAACTAACCTTGTATAGTTTTATAGTGGGATTAGTGGGATTGGTGGGATTTTCTGATAATTTCTCTGGTGTAATTCATTTGTTGAAGAAAAAAAAAATCAAGACAGATCTTGATCGTGAGCTTGGTTTCTCTTTGGTGTTATAATGTATTATGAACACTACTTATAATGAATCATGTTAACAATTCATAATAAATAATAAATTAAGCTATAAAGTGTATTATATTTTCATAAATGATTATAACAATGATTATAATGCCTTATGAATGCATTATAATGCTTTATAAATGCCTTGTAATGCCACATGATATGCATGTGTTAATAGTTCATTCTAAAAATGACCTTCATAGAAAATGTTACCATATCATTTTTGGTATTTGAATGCTTTATGTCACGTCACGTTATATTATACAATATAATATAATGGCATTTACGAAATGAGTCTGACGGCTGGAGCCTGTTAGAATAGGATTTGTTCAATATTTATGCACCTTTATGTCAGTTGTCAGGAAGGGCTTATGTAGGTTTTATGTAGTTCTATGAACACTACCTTTTGGAAAACAGTAGCAGAAATCATGACTGCACTTTCCTTGCCTAAGATCTTCAGTTTTGACATTTAGCACATTTTAAAGTGATATTTTAGTCTGTAATAACCCCCATGTCTGTAGTAACTCACAAGTGAGAGGGGTCACTTGTCTCCATGTTAGATGTTAGTATACTATATCATAAACGCTGGATTACCATGAGACAGAATCTCATAAGCTGAACTACTTATGAACTGCCTACCTCGACAGGTTAAGGGCGGCCCTGATTCCAGGGCCAGGACTGTTACTAAAGTCATTTTGAGTTAAAGGTTATCATTGTCACAGTAAGGGTGTGTATGTCATGCATAGAAAATTGGCTCTGCGCTATGAACCAAAAAGGTCATGTTTTGATCTTGGGTATGCCAAATAACACTAATGTATTTGGGTCCATATACAGAGGAAGTTTCATTGTACATCTTGCAGTCTGTCAGCGATAAAATATAAAATATTTGAATATACCATTATGCCAGACCTTTCATTAGGGAATCATTGCTTTCAGAATGACGCTTTCAGAGAGACGGCACCCCAAGTACCCTTGTCTGAAGGGTAATGATTACATCACAGCTGCAGGAAAAATAACAGCCAAAGGTGCTACTCACGTCACTTTTATCTCCCTATTTTTAAAAGATTTCTATAGAACCCTAAGACAATGCTATAACACCACAATATCTTTGATATGTATATTAGCTGAACCTAAATTAAGGTGAATTTATATGAGGTTGCATTCAGGTTTGAGAAAGAGAAGGTTTTTCTGATGTTCACTTGGCAGGTAATGTCACATTACTGCCATTACATGACACTGACACATCGGTTCTCACATAAGTCAGCCAAGGAGAGTGTTATAACAAGCTTGTGCCTGTAAATATCTGTGATGTGATTTGAATCATTTGTCGGCTTGACACTGACTATGGTAAAACTTTCTATGGAAGTCACATTTATAATGAACGACGAACACATGCATATCATTTTATAATGCATTTATAATGCATTTATTTATAAACAATTTCCATCAGGGATCAATAAAGTACTCTATGTATCTATCTACTGTATCTATCTATCTATGAGGCATTGCGCACATTGTTAAAATTATTTATGAACATTTATAAAAAGAAAATGTTATAAGGCATTGATAAGACTATGCATATTGGTCTAACTATTTGGGAAAATGCACTACACTTTGCAGACACTATATGTCTATCTTTAGTATGCATTCTAAATTGTTAACATGGTGCATTAGAAGTAGTTTCCATAACATCATATCACCAAAGAAACCCTTCTACTGAGCAAACTATAAGAAGTGTTGTAACCACTACTTATAAAGCATTCTGTTAACAAATTAGAAATGTTTTTGCCAGTTTTATTGCAGTTATAACCTGTTCTATAGATGATTATGTAGGTTTATGGCAGTTGTACCTTAGGAATGCATTATAACATATAATGAAAGTGTTCATGAGGTCATTATTCATATTGTCTTTATAGTGTGTGTTACCAAAGCAGTTGTTATGGCAGTGGTCACCTGTTGGAGGTCTTTCTAGATGTTTATGTAGGCTTATGTCTGTTGTCATTAAAGTGTAATGTAGGCCTTATGTCCGGACACTGGCCTGAACACTGAACAATATCATTACCAAGTGCCAAAACAAGACCCCTGTCCTATATACACACATATATTATACACAGGACGTGATATTAAATGAGGGGCCAGTGGCACATTAGCCTGGACAAACATCTTTAAACATTGGATATGCAGTGTGTCAATATACCCTTACAACCTCCATCATACCATTCATTCATTTCTGGCCCCTAATTTCATCATTAAACATTTATATCCTGCAGAAACATGAGAATAAATTGGGTCTCTACTCGAGTAAAAGTCAATAAGCATTTCTAAAATGGATGGAAAAGAGAAAAATACTTTCACGGCAGAAATTTAAGACCCTGTGCATCAATAGGAAGCAGTTTTGAATTGAAGAGGCAGATATTAGTAGAGTCTGCAATGAAAATTCTCCTGATGGCATTGACATTTGAAAAGGATGATTCAATAAAGAAGACATTTGAATCATATCCTTTTTTTTATTTCAGGTTGTCAAGAAAGCTAATTTCAGGAAATCCTTATGCAATATATAAGTAATTTATACACTTTATAGTCATGACAAAGTGATCATTAGGAATGATGATTCAGACGGACTCAGCAGTGAGATAGAGAACCGAAGACTGTTTGTTGGTGTGAGGTAGAAAGAGCAAAAATGAGCTTGTGATGAATATTTCATCTCTTCCCATATAGCCTTAGAGTTACAGATCGGTCAATACGAGTCACGGGTTTGAAGCCGGAACTATAGAGAAGGCAGCGTGACCTTTTTAAGAATTTTTCTTTAAAGCATTTTGGGCTGTTGGTATGAGAAGAATTCACAGTAGAAACTCAGAGAGGGTGTCAGTGGTTAAGATATTGGACTTCTAATCCGATTGTTGTGAGTTCAAATCCCAGCACCACCAATCTGCCACTGCTGGGCCCTTAAGAAAGGCCCTTAACCCTCAACTGTTCAGTTGTATAAATGAGATAGTTGTAAATCACTCTGGATTAGGGCGTCTGACAAACGCCATAATGTAATGTCATAGTTTTAGTCATTTTACCCAGTGAGCAATAATTTAGTACTTAAGTGAATAATACAGGCTGGAAGTTACTTAATTATGCTGATTTACAACCACACATAAAATATAATAATAAATGGCAAAAGTATGCAGATGTGTGTAGTGTCTATCATCTTATATCATTATATCATTCTTTGGTATGAATTGTTATGAACTGTTACCCCATATTAAATACATACTGTGAAAAATATGGCATAGATATGACAATATAAATTAAATAATTATATATTCTCTGTAAAGCCAATAAAAAGGTTGGGTTTTTTTTGCATGGAGGAGATCAGAAGAGACAGCATCTTAAAAAGAGACACTGCTTATCTGAAGAACCCATTTTTTTTTTATAAAGAAAATGAGTAATTAAATTTCCATAAAGTGAGCTGTAAGCGAAGCAGATGAGTGCTTGGTCAGATTTTCCTTTAAATAAGCACATAAAATTATTTTTTTTGTAATTTGAAAAATCAAAATAACAAATCAAAAGAATGATAAATTAGCTTATATCCTGCATACACTATGATTTTATAACACTGATTTGGTATCCTGTGGCCACAATTATTGCATTTTATATATATATATATATATCATGCATGACTAAGCTTTATGCTTTCTAAGTGCTATTGTATAAACTGCTGAAGCCTGAGAGTGGAAGGAAGAGTGTCGAATTAAAACAAAGTTGCAGTGATAATTATAACAAGGACTATTCATGTTTTATGTAGACTACTATCAGAAGTGTATTTGAATGATTGCCATCTTCTCATTTTTACAAAATCACAAGTCCACATTTTCTATACCCCTAGTTTTCTTAGGCTTAAAGGTAAATGCTTGTCTTTAGAGAAGCAGCCTTAGATCCATGAACTACACCCAGGTCATTTATTCTTAGACCCCATCCAAAATATCAGGTTACGCACGTGCATGAGTCAATCCTGAACACAAGGAACTTTCCCTGCATAAATATTGACGTATCTTTTGAACACAAACAATACGCCGAATGCGTATGTTGCCTCCCTCTCCATGCTGCACTTTACAACATAAACAAACACGAGAAGTCCGTATGTTACCACATAGAGATGTTCCGCTGTTACCTGGGACTCAAATGCGTTGTGAAGGAACCTAATTAGTGGCAGAGTTCTCTCGACAGCAAGAACGAAAGTTTTAATTAGACTAAAATACCAACATGTTACAGCTTGCTGCCTTCATCAGGATAAATCAATAAAACACATTACCAAGCAGGTGTACTCCTGTCACATTAATTAGCTTCCACCAAAACATAAGCAGCCATCAGAAAGTAAAGGGGAAAAAAAGCCATCTGGAGGGACGTGCTGAATCCCGCTGACCATGCATAGCCACAAAATAAAGCGATATATGTTTACCTTAGCTTATGAAGAACTTTGAGTATAGTAACACTGGAGATGTTTCAGGGAATGGGCAATGTGAATCGTAGCGTCAAATTTGTCACCTGAAGTAGTGTGTGTGTGTGTGTTGCAATTCAGTGCAACTTGAATGAAAGTATGGTGAGACGAATCTATATATTGTGTCTATATGTTCAAACTTTCTTGTCATTGTGATGCTAGGAAATGGATTGCAATCCTTAACAGAAGCGAGAGGGGTCCAAGCACTACTGCAAGATTAGACTGCATTCCTGCTTAAATTTGAAGAAAAAAAAAAAAAGTTCAATATAAAACTATGCAATATCAGGAAAATACCTGGGTCTATATGTATGAGTCAGACCAAACTCATAGAAAGAAATACTGACCTTACTTTCTTCTTCTGCCTGGTGGCCAGACATCAAAATGGCAAAGAAATAATTCTTTTCATACATTTAATGGTGATTACTCATGAAGGGGTTTAATGTGAGTGCAGGCTAGAGCTGAAATCCTGGAAAGATTTAAATGTGAATCAAATGTGACAAGACTTAGACAAAATTGTTTGTAAAAGAAGAATTAACATGCTGGCATCTTTTTGAGCCTCATGTAAAACATGAGTGAAGTGTTGTCAGGAGCCAAAGTCTTAAAGTCAAAGTAAAAAAAAAAAAATAAAAAAGAAAAACTGTTGAAGCGTTGCTGAATTCTTGATTCTGCTTGGTCAGAAGGTGTTGATCAATTTTCAATAACAGCAGCTCTGACAGTAGCCTCATTCGATTAATCTCAGACTTACTCTAATACTTTATCATTTCTATGGCAACAACTTAGAGACACGTACGGTGGAGCCGCCGCATAAATCAGAAGTCAGAAATTTCAAAATCAATTTCTCAGAGTTCTGATCTAAACGCGTTCCACTGCTCCCGCTCGGAAAAAAAAAACAAAACACGGGTGCCCAAAGCAAGGTCGTATTTGTATGGCTAGTCTCTAAATTTGATAAGCATATAAAGAAGATCAGCATTAATTACTTCTGCATGATTAGCAATGTGAAATGACATACTGTATAAGATAAGGTTGACTACTCTTGTTCAGCTTTGCCTGTAAAAATCTGTCACAATGGTCTAATCACTTTAGTAAAAAAATAAATAAATAAAATAAATAAATAAATAAATAAATAAATAAATGGCTGAAACTAACAGAACCATGTGATAAATCTAAACCTACAGCATTGTTGAAACACCTTTTCACAATACAAAAGCTCCATATCCAGTAAAATCATGTTTCACCAAGTAGTAAACGATGCAAAGGGACATTGGCTTATTTAGGCCATACTGTTTTGACATCAGGTGTGTTTATGTCAGAGAATAAAACACTTTGGGACATATCGTTGTAGGACAGTAATCAGTGTTTTATTCAATACTTATACTTCCTCATGTGATAAAAATGGAAATTGCACAAAATCTGTTGAGTGCTACACATCTCATCTTGTGTACTGAGATATTCACAGCAAATGCCCCAGAGTTTTAAGCATGAAAGCTTATAGATAGGCGAATAAATACAGAAGCCTGAGGGAGAGAAGGAACGTACGAATGTGTAAGGAGACTGACAGAAAAGAATATGAATAGAGAAAGGGAAAGAGAGCGAGAGAGAGAGAGAGAGAGAGAGAGAGAGACTGATCAAGACTGGTGACTGGCTTTAGAAGTGGCGTGACTTTGATGCCGAGGATGAAAATAACTTAAATGATGAAGTAAAGCCTAAAGGACAGGCTCGCTGTGGGTTGCCAGATCTGCGCTGAGATACCCCAAGGGCTGAGACAAATAGGGAAGAAGCAACACACCAATCTGACATGTCTTTTTTTTTATGAATCTCCCTCCACTCCACCACCTATAAATCTTGTACTAAAAGAGACAGATTTGACATTTATGACCACCGTTAGCCACTTAAGACCGGATTTTTGTGCTGCTGTGAAACATGTTATTAGCTCTGACAGCATAATTGTAGAAAATGTAGGGGAATGGGTGTGACAATGGTGTGTGTGGATGGTAGAGCAGGGCAGATTTGTCCCACCCTTGCGGTATCACTAAGAAAGGTCACCAAAGAGTTACGACCCATTCTCCATCCACATTTCAGAGAACTGACTCAGATTTAAAGATTCTAAGACCCCTAAGGGTTTTCTGCTATATCCATTTTCTTAGGTCACTGGGAGTCACTCAGATAATCCACTCTTATGAAACGTATTACGTATCAAAGTTTATTTTTTCCTTTTTTTTTTTTTTTTATTTGGTAAACTTACTGAAATAAATCTTGTTGAAGACATACTGCCATGGGCTAAAACTGTCTCCCTCATTCAGATGGAATCTCTCTCAGTCTCTCCTTCATTTTCCCATCCTGCGCTCCACATTTCCACTGTCTGTCATGCACGATGAGAGAGCAGGGTGAGGCAGCGGTCGTCTCGTATATGAAACACCTTCATCAGTTCATGTCATTTGCTAACTGTTTAGAGAAAATAGCTACTCGCACATTTCAGCACCAGTGTAAAAGATTCAGATAATTAAAGGGCGAAAGGAGGAAAGAAAAAGGCAGAAAAGAAAATGAGTGAAAGCATGATGTCCATTTTCACCTGGTGAAAAAGATAAAGTCCAGTATGTAACGTGGGGTATAAATCGTGATACGGCATGCTGTTATAGGAAAATAAATCAGTGGTGAGTTCATGTTACTGCCACTGCACAGCACATCCTGAAGTGTTCTATTCCTCTTACACCACAGCGATTTCCCAATGATTACAAATCCGTAATCTTAATCGAATAGCAATTAACAATAAATTTGACATTTTTATCCATTTTTAATTATGTTTAAAGTTTAGTTCATGTTATCGCTTGCATTATAGCAGCTGTAAACCCTCTTTTTCTCTCTCTTTTGAAGTTAAGAAGACAGAAATTGCACTTTGTAATGTTATCAAGAAACCATCATGAAGACTTGTGTCAGTATATGTAAAAAGAAAAAAGGGAATGTGTTATAACGTTGTTGTTGTTTTTTTTTTTTTTTTTTATCAGTAATTGAGTAAGTAGATTCTCGGTTTCATGGTAACATGACAAGCTATGTTTGTTTTCTTATCATAGTTAAAACTGTGAAAATAAATGAGGCTGGTGATGGATTGAGTGTTTATAGGTGCTGTGATGGAAATGATAACAGGAACTCACTTGTTTGCAGGACGTTCCACAACATTACCCGCAACAATAACTGGATTAAAAAAAAAATACATGATGTGTTGTTCTTTAATTGATTCAAAAATTATAATCATTGGCAGATGGCTGTGGTATAAGAATAATAAAACACCGTGTGATGTACTGTTATTGGAAAATAACCAACTATGCAGTGGTCAGGTAAATAGCTAAATAAGTAATAAATAAATAAATAAATAAATAAATAAAACTACGCCAGCCACGAAGAAATAATGATTTAAGAAAGCAGATTTCATGAACGCTTTCATAC